CAGTTCATTTGTCTCTTTTCCTTTTAGACGTCTAATATTTTATTTATTTATAATTTATTAAAAAATTTTTTTTTGAGATGGAGTTTTGCTCTTGTTGCCCAGGCTGGAGTGCAATGGCATGATCTTGGCTCACTGCAACCTCTGCCTCCTGGGTTCAAGTGATTCTCCTGCCTCAGCCTCCCGAGTAGCTGGGATTATAGGCATGTGCCTCCACACCCAGCTAATTCTGTATTTTTAGTAGAGACGGGGTTTCTCCATGTTGGTCAGGCTGGTCTCGAACTCCTGACCTCAGGCCCGCCTTGGCCTCCCAAAGTGCTGTGATTACAGGCGTGAGCCACCATGCCGGGCCAGACAGCTAACATTTTATAACAAAGTCTTGGCATATGCCTGCAAGTATTCAGAAGACCAAGTTGGGAAATGCCCCAACAGATTCCAAAAACAGTACTTTTCCCTTTTTCTAGCTTGGGGAAATGTTTTGCAGAGGTGATTCCAAATAGATAACCACTCATCAACCATTATGTTCTCAAGACGGGGAAACATGCAGAGCTTTTTGGGCAGAACACTGTGAAATAAAAATTAAAACAGATCTTGCATTGAAGTGTTTAGCTCAATCGATGACAAAGGGTTATATTATCATTAATTCATGTTTATTGGACTTCCACTGGGCACACGTTCTTTTTCAAAAATTTTATTTTCATTTTTATGCAGAATCACGGAAGGTCCTCTTTTTAAACGTCTGAATTAGAGAAGTGTATTTGTCTGACATTAGACGGAGTTCAGTAAATATTTGTTGAACGAATGCACAAATTTGCATCATGCTGCATTTATGCTGCAATATTGTTGCCTCTGCCCTTTTAGGTATTCTCACTTTCTCCTCTTAGGTGTTTTTCAAAACCAGTAGGAGCCCTCTGAGCTGCGCCCACTGGAGCTGAGAGGTGCAGTGTGAATTGGGCTCCCAAAGTCCTTGCTTAGAAGGTTTTTAACAGAGGTTAAGCTTATGGCATTTTTCATGTGACAGATTGTATTTCTTTTCATTCTACTTAAAATGTTTGAAAATTAAAGCATTTATTTTTTTAAACTAGCAGAATACTTTTTAAAATAGGAAAGAAAATGCTAGTACCCATTTTGCATTTAATAATAAAAGGAAAATGTTTTTTAACTTCATAAAAAAATCAAATTGTTAGATGACCCCCATTTAGAGAGATTATTAATGTTAATTCATAATATTTTTTTTTTTCTGTTTTGTCACTGTTAAGTTGAAAATCAACTCCAGAATTTTTAAAAAAATGAATTCTGGAAAAATATCCCCCTCAAATCACGTTGTTCTTATTGTATTGCTTTTTTTGAACAGCCTAAGCATATATGTTACTGCTAAGTGTCTGTGAGGAACAAGAAGAGGGAACGCTTACTTGCAAACTATTTTGTTTTAAATAAGAATGACATTTCACTCATATCATAGCAGGCAAAATTTAGGTATTATTTTCATTAAGTACACTATTATTTGTAGCAAATTGTACTGAAGCCTCTCTGTTTTCCCCCCAAGGTCTTATGGACACTACAAATTCCGCTGTTTGAATATGGAATTTATGGTGGCTGGAAGCACTCCTATTAATTCTGTTATATGTGGTTTTGGCTCCCTAAATAATGTCTAGCTAAAACATCTCTTATTAAGTCCAGATGCAATTCATTTTTTTCTGATCTACAGAACACTGGAAATTTATCAGCCTTTATTATTCCTCATCGAAATGAGCGCCTTTAGATTTCTAATTATATTGTCTAATAAAACTAAACAGTCAATGCTATTTGCATATTATATGAAGAAGTGTCATACAACAAACTCATAGCAGTCAATTAACATAAAAGCTAATTATATATCTCATCAGCTTACAAGAGTTTCTGAATTCATGCTTCCCCTGTTGTAGCCTAGAGCAAAGGAGCTTTGAATTTTCACTTCTAAATATTGACTTTTAACTAATATCAGCAGTGATTTCAATTTTTATGGATGAAAAGTTAGTGATTAAACCAGATGCAATATTGCTACAATGCAATTAAAATTTTACATTAACTAAACCTCTAGAAAGAAAATCTTTGCTACAATGTGAAATTAATTATCAGTCACTAAACAGGTTACGTGCTGGTTTCATATCTGAAGGACACTCCAAAATAACGATAAAGATGAGTGAAATTTATTGGAGGTTGTCAGACTGTAATGGCAGAGACAGATATACCACAACGACAGTTTCCACTGTAACATAATTGTATTCCTGCTGATTGTGACAGCTATCAAGCAAGAAATTTACTACAAGATTAACAGAGACACAGTAATGAACAAACATGGAGGCATGCTGTAATTGGCCGTTATTAAAGCGTTATCACAGTGGTCTGTAATAAACTCCCTAGCTCCGGTTTTCTAGAGAAGCCAAAGCCAGAACTTTCAACTACTTTTTTCCATTCTAAAGTAGGGATATGGGAATCCCACCACCCCCATTCCATTACTCACATAACAAGCACAAGGTCCCAAGAAACCTAAAGGCAGAGAAACGGGCACCACATTTAGGAAGTATAATTACAGATGGGTTTAAAAATTGGGAAAAGTTAGGATTTACTTGGAGTGCTTGGGGTACTCTAAGATAGCAGTGAAACGATCATGGATCATTCTTCTACTTAGAACGTGTACCAGACAAGTCCATGTGTAAAAGCAACGGCAGATAAGAAAACTGTGCCAGTACGGGGGTTTTCTCTGGATACACAGGCCTTCTCATTCATATTTTAATGAGGCTAGTATCTCTGAGACAGTCCTTGCAGGGCAGAGGGAAGGCTCCCTAAGATTACAATAGGAGATGCTTCATTGACAAGTACTATTCAAAATCTTCACGGTATAGAAAGACTTCGTTTCATTCCACTTGTCCGGATACTTATTGCCCTCTTATAATCAAAACACTTGGAGGGAAAAAAAGCCCCAGTTACTCTGTGAACAGTCTTTAAATGTACTGAACGTAGTTCAGCTACTTAGAATCATTTCAAACTCTAATCGTGTACATTTGAATAAATGTATAAAGAGCTGTAATGCATAAGCATCTTTTTCTTAAATATTTTCTCAAAAAATTGATGCTTTGCGATTTTAGGATCAAAATTTTTCTTAATCCTCTGCAAAAATGAACTCCACTCATCTCACACTGGCTGTTTTCCCTTTCCTGTGTTTAATGAATATCGTAGTGTAGTGTCTCTGAGCTAGCTGCCAGCAAACATTTTCTACTTTTAAATAATGTTTGCTCTAAAGGGCTAGTTATCATCAAAAAGCCAGTCAGCCTTCATCGACTGACAAAATTATAGAAATTCACAGGTGTGTACCTTGCCACAACATATTTGTGTTAAAAGAGGTAAAACAGCGGTACACTCAAAACGTCAAACCACACTTTCAAAAGAAAAACCACCCACTGGTAGGTGGGAAGTTTTAACACAGAGCGCTGTTTCCAAAAAGTGCAACCGAGGAAATCAATCACATGGCCCCCAGAGTAAGTTGGGGAAGGCCTTCCACACACAAACATCATAATTTTGCTCAACACTTAGGTGCTCAGCAGTTTTTGCCAACAGCTCACAATGTTCTATGAATTGAAAGTTTTCAGCGTGGCCTGTACTCAATATGAATTAGCTGGTGTATTAGGATGGAGTTTGGTGTTCTAGTGGAAAGCCTACGGTTCTGAAAGCCCCAGCGATCAGATCTTGCCTGGTTCCTCCCGGCTCTGTCCCCATCCCCCCAAGTATCAAGTATGTTTACTTTTCGGAAGAGAAAGGGGGAGGGGGGAGGAAGGGAAGGAGAGAATGAATTTCTTGATTACAGTTAGGTATTTTTAAATGAAAGAGCTTACTCTTTACTTTCAAGTAAAATGCTGCTCTGTTGACATCCAGAAACGACTATGAATATATTGTATATGTATCAGCTAAGGAAATAATACTTAAAATACACGCATCACAGAAAAAAGAAAACCTCCACCATCTGTCTGCTAATGATCTGTCTTGATCAAGTTACATTTTAAAATGCTCCTCTGCATTTTATAGTTTTTCCAGTGTTTACGTCTTCGTTTCTGTAAATTAATAAAGCAGATTTTCAGTTTTGTTTGTTAATCTACGTATTGTGTGCCTGTTTTACAACTTCATTAATGAACGTTAATGAACGGCTTAATTAAAGCGTAAGTAGAAGGCAACTTGTGTTTGAAATATGTACTTGGAGCCGTCGAGGCTGCGGTGTTCGACTGTAGACGTTTTTAGAGATTAAAACGCTCACGAGTTTTAAAACGTGGTATTTGAGTGACTGGATACATGTGGCGGTGTATTGTGTGAAACAGTCCACAAGCGATTGACCTCCCCCTCGAGGGCCTGGGCCTGGCGAGCCGCTCCGAATCCAGCGCCGGCGGCGTGCGGGGGAGCCGCAGGGAGGTTACCTGTGCCCGGGGGAGGCGCGGCTGGGCGTTAATCGGCGGCGGCGTCTCCCGGACGCGTCCTCTTGCCGAGTTTCTTTGAGATGTTTTCACGGAGTGTCTTCCTCACGCACGCGGGGGGCGGCGGTGGCGACGCGGGGTGGTTGGTAACGGAACCTGGGCCCAGAGGACACAGGCGCACCCTCCGCCCGCGCCGCGGAGAGATTTGTGGCCAGATGGCGGTGAAGCGCGGAGACCCTTTGTGCGCCCCGAGCGCGCCTGTGAATGCCGCGCGGTCGCTGGCACCGGAAGGGTTCATACTGCGCCTGAAAGGGGACAATGGAGGCTGGAGATATCGACACCGCAGAAACCGAGTTCATTTGTGATGCAGGCCCTTTCACTGCGGTTGTCATGCAAACTTCCTGCTTTGATCAGCGGAGGGTGGAGAGGGAGAAAGCCCGCAAAGGCCGCGGGCTCGGCGCGGTCCGGCGCCCTTGGCGGCTCCACGCCCCCTTCCGGAAGGAGCCGCGGGGACGCCGCGTCCTGCACCTTGACCCGTCTAGACGGCCCCGGAGGTTTTGTCTCCGTTACCAAGGGCGAGGGGTGCTCTTTGACCCGCGCCCGGGGCGGAGGTGGTGGCCGCGGGGTCCCACTGAATCCTCGCCGGATGCCGGAGGGAGAGGGGCGCGCGGGGACGTGCACCAGCTGTTCCCAAAGAAGGCAGCCGAGGAGCCCGCCCGCGAGAAGGGGAGCCCGTCCGTGAGCCCCTTCCTCTCCAGCCCCGCGTCCGCCCCAGCCCGGGGCAGCGCGCGGAGGCAGCGCGGGGGACGCGCCGCCGAGGGCGCGCCGCCGAGGGCCGGACTTTGGGCCTCCCCAACTTCTCCCCGCTGAGGGGGTCTGAAGCCAGCTGAGCGCGCGCGCTCTCTCTCCCTCTCCCTCCCTCTCCCTGTCTCTCCCCCTCCTGTCTCTTGCTCTCTCTCCTGACGGGTACTTGGATAATAACAGCCATTTTCCGTGCGTCATGCTTTTCGCTACATGCTCAGTGACTCTAAACATGATTCTATGCAGAGGTATAGTTTCTAGTTTGAATGTACGTTTTTTTCTTTCTGTCCACTTTGAAAGACACGCACTTTGTAAAAACTAGAATCGACGCTGACCCCGGACATGATGCCAACCAGGTCGTGGCTACACTGTGATCACAACCTGCGGTGCCGTGCGCCGCGCCTCCTGCCTGTGCTGGGGAAGCGGCCCACGCTGGCATTCCCCGCCGGTGCGGCGTCTCCCTGTGGACTCGCAGTAACACTAACACTAAGACGAGTTTCCTCGCCTTGCCTTTCTTCTTAGATCCCCCTAGCCCAGTCGGAGGCGTTCCTAACGGACCTTTTGGAGAAAGTGTGTGAGCGAATGCGCGACTACAAGCTCGAAGAAGACCCTGTGACGAAGGAGAGAACTTTCAAGAGATTTGCTCCTAGGAAAGGAGACAAAATATACCAAGAATTTAAAAAATTCCATTTTTATTCTGATGCTTACAGACCTTTGAAATTTGCGGTAAGCTGCCTTCCTTGCAGATGAATCATGTGATCCGGAAACGTGTTTTTGGAACTCTTTTTGCTTGTTCACTACTCTTGTTGTGGTTGAGTTTAAGGCGTGGCACCTCAAAATGCACATTAAAATGTCATCTGCTGACTTTGTTGTCTTGCTGCGTAAGTGCTCACCATGCATTTAGTAACTTACCTTTTGAGACACCTAAGGGGTTGTAGCATTTTGTGGTGATCAGTGGACACGTTTAAAAGTGATATTTTATGGGAGATGCTGTTCACAAATCCCGGGGACCTGTAGACACAGCTTTGCACAATGTTTTGCTTAAACCGTTTTGCTCATGTAGGGACTGGGGAGTGGTCTCAGTCGGTGCTGGTGCTGAGGAAGGGCTCTCCCAGGCTTCCACGTAAGGAATCAGGGGCTGTGCTTTGTAGGTTAAAATCCAGATTAAAACGAATGGCGCTTTCAAATATTTACAGCCGTATGGTAGAAAGAGAATGATGCAGCCATCTCTTTTTTTCCTGAGGCTTCACAGAGGAGAGAGAATTGCATACTGAGTGAATTCAAGTATTCTAGCCCAAACTAAGTTAAACAAAGGCTTAGGTATGATAGTTGGCTTGATGCCAAATTTCTTTCCAGTGTCATATTTATTTTTCATGAAAGCTAGTCTCTGGCTTGCTAGAATGTGTTGGCAAAATACATTGCAATATATTTCACTTTAACCAATGCTGTTGAATCAGACAGAGTGATGGGCAATCCTGTTTTAAAATGTATTAAGTTCACACACTGTCCAAAATATCAGGCATGCTGAAACCTTGAAATGAGGGCTTTAGCTGACTTTCAAAGATTTTATTTTAATTAGAAAGTAAAGGCAATAATCAAGGTTAAAAGTGCCACAGAATAAGAATGACAGTGAATAAGTATGTTTGTATTTCACAGGTTTTAAATAGGCACATTGAGTCGAATTTAAATCTTTTTAAATGCCATTAAAAATTTTTAGAGTCTTGCTTAATGAACTCAGAAAATGATTTACAAGTCTCTAGTGAATACTACTGGGTAACTTCACAGCTCCTAAAAGTATAACGTGGTAGTTCTTTACCAAAGAAACATACTCCAGTTAGAATTTAAGATTTTCAAATGCAGGGGCATATTGGAGCGCCCTCTTCTCTGAAATGTCAGGGTTTTTTCCAGTGAAGTGAAATTTTGGATGGATCTCTAAATAGTATGAAAAGACACTTCCCGAAGTAACTGTCAAGTGTGTTCTCCACAGTGAAATTGAAGATGCGTTTGTTTTGATTGCTGAGAAGGCTTAATTGTTTTCACACTTTCAAGCTACAAAATGGATTATTATGTTAAATCTGAAGGAAACTGGTTTAACCATTTCGATGAGCTATGGTCTTTTACTTTTTTTTTTTTTTTTTAAATTTAAAAACCGTAAGACCTTTCATTTAAATAGGAGGCCCATTTCTTCCTATGACTTCCATTCCAATTTAAGGAAGCGAAACATGCAGAGCGATGTTGCTTCCTTAGCCTCCCACATCTTCCAGCACAACTCATCATTGACTTAAGTCCCAGGAAAATGATGCAATTAACATTCTGGGAAGATGGTTAATCCAATGCAATGATGTATTAAACCAAAAGGGCTCATAAAAACGGACCACCTTGGTTCCATGATTTCCTGTGTTTAGCTAATAAATGGTTGCAAAGTCCTTCCTAACAAGGATCCCCACCAGTGTGCGTCTATCCACATGTGCCATTATTATGTTTCTACAGTGTGAAACTATAATAGAAGCGTATGAAGATGAAATATCCTCACTTATCGCCCACGAGGCACACTATCTCGCTGACAAGCTGTGCAGTGAAAAATCAGGTACTGTGTCTGATGTAACATGTGCTCACTGCTCGCACACCCTCTCTCTCTCACTCAGCCTTGCAGCGTCTTGTTTGCAGACCGAGCCTCGCTGCCTTGCTGCGACCCACGGCTCTGACACAGGATCCCCCATCTCCGCTGAATCAGAAACGACAGCATGTGAGAGAAAACAGATACACAGAAACCACAGGGCTGTGAGATCTTCCTCTTTGTACTTTCCTTCCTCTACTCCTTAAGGGAATTCAAACACTCTTGATTTCCAGTTGTTAAGGAGAAAATTCTTATTCAGAATTAGAAGACTCCAAAACACTTTCTTTTTAAAAACTTTGAGAGATAGGATTTTTCCATCCTGGACCAGAGAAAGAGACTCTGACTTCATGACTAGAGTATCTGCTACACCAGCAGAAGGTGGGATTTTTGTTTTGTAAGAACTTTCTGAAGTTTTTGTTGTTGTTTCTTTGTTTTGGGGTAGGGCGGGGCGGGGGGGTGGGGATGCTGGAATTTTTTTTTTTTTCAGGTTCTATTCCTGTATCTACTTCTTAAATTTTTTTTTTCTGGCCCAGAGAGTGGAAAATAATACTTAATTCTTAAGCGTATACACACACACAGAAGCTGGAAAAAATGAGCAGAATTTTATTTATAATATACAAAGTTGAAAGCTGTGGTCACTTCCTCTCCACTCTGTTTGGCTGTGCGTAGATCTCCTAGTTCCCTAACTTGGATACAATGGAGTACACAGTTGTGCATTCTTTTTGGATACCTTTGGGAAAATGAATGAGTAGATGTGAAGACAGTGATTTAAAGCCAGAGGGGTACTTTTAAACAATGTGGAAGTTTGAGACAATTAGCATTCAGCAGTTGTTTACAATGAAGTATAATACACCTACATCCATTATATCAAATGTAGCATCAAAGTCCTTAAAATAACAGCTACTGCACATTTGTAGATCAATATTCATGTCATCAAAAGTTATTAAACAAGAAGCACACAAATCCCCCATTAACAGGACAAGTAAAGTTTGTTTTGTTTTGTTTTGTTTTTTGTTGTTTTTTTTTTAACTCTGAGTAGATAATCGGGTTGTTTTCTGTTTAAAATCCAGTTTTAGTGAAGCTTGCAGAAGAATACAGAGTGACCACATAGTCAGGCTTATTCAGGCATTTGGGATATTTTTCTTTGATGTTACATATATGCTACAGAAATGTGTGATGTCCATAGCCACAACTTCCCACAGAAATGTTTTTAAGGTGTTTTAAACAATTCAGAGATGTATGTATGCATTCAGATATAAGCAAAAACCTGATGAACAATACTTGGAATATTGATTTTCCTATTTTTTCCTCATAAAGGATGTGGTCTTGTCATTATTGTCTATGACAAACGCAGATCCACTGCTACGGGGGCCCTCTCTCGTGTGTCCCAGGAGGACCAGGGAAGGCCGCAGCAACTAGTCATAAGATCCTGGGGAAAGACTGTTCCCAAGTTTGTCAATCTGACTTAATTTCAATAATCTTAACTACTCCTCTTAATTCCTTTTGCATATTTATAATTGGAATAAAAGCTAACACCTTGAGAAAATGCACGCTGAAAGAATAAACGTAAGACAGGTGCGATTTTGAAAGTATAAAATGAAACCTGACCAGGTAATTCTTAATTGGCATTTGATTTTTAAAACACTGATTAAGTGCTTACACTGTTAACAGCAGTATTGGAAGTAAAAGTTAGGAAAAATAATCAAAGGTGCAAGCCACCATTCAGCCACTACATAGTGAAGCGGGGTGAGTCCTTTCAGGTAATGTTTCTTCATGAAACATATTTATGGATGTTCTAAACCACTCATAAGTGAAAAACCGAGAAAAAATTAATCCTAGAAAGAGACTAGACTTCTCCCACCCACTCAAAAAGCCCTACTGTTGAACTGAGTTAATGACACAATAACAAGGAAGAGAGTTTCTTCAAACTTATCAATTTCTGCCAGAAAAAGCTCAAGCAGCACATCAATGATAAAAACTCCGATAAGTGACTGAAAGCACCAGAGAATTCATGTGTCTTAACGCGTTGGAATGGTTTCAGACAACTGAAGGGTGAGACGTTCGTATTGTAGAAAACTCCAGATGCATTGGTACCTAATCTAAAATACAAGTACAGCCAGTTTACAACCAGAGTATGACATTCACACTCTGCTTTGTGAAGGTGATGCTTTACCTTGTGATCTTGCACAGCAGCTTCGCTGTGATAGACTCTCCAGAGTTTAAACGGTGTCTTAAAGATGTGACTCTGTGTGTGTGTGTTTGTGTGCGTGTGCATGTGTGTTACCGTATAAAACTGCACGGTAAGCAGTCATTATTTACTGAGTGTCTACTATGTGCAAGACACTACGCTGTTAAAATATTCACACGTTGCTTTTAGGAAGATAAACATTTAGAAAATAGACATTGGTAGAATTAGAGGTTTTATTGAAAGTTTAGTTCCTTTCTACACTTTATATACACCTTGTTTACATAGGAGTTTCACTTTTTTTCTTCTTAGTGTAGATTATTTCACTTTATTTATAATAATGATATGTTGGCAAGTAAGGACACATTCACAGACTCTTCAGAGTATTAAAGTTCTAACATTCACCCATGCAAAAATAAATGGGGAAGGAGGGAGAAAATGTATATGTCAGATTTAAGATGACTGTGTTCGGATGAAAATGTATCACTGAGATTTTCATTATGTGTCATTTTTTTGATGAGTGAAAAAAATCTCAATGAAAGGTTGTAGGATTACAAAGGAATCTGTGGCTGCCAATGCAGTTTATTTACTGGATAGAATAAAAGTCATCAAATGTACTTTGTTTTTGGAGTGTGAGACAGAGTAATAAGGAGTTATTCCTCAAATAATCTCTTTTTGTCCTAGGCAAAAAAATAAAGGCAAATTCATTAGATGTTCCTGGTGGAATATCTTGGGGCATATAGCCCAGACTTCTCCAGAATGTCATTTTAATGTCTTGGAGTCAAAATGATTAAAATCTTAATATGATATAGGGTCGTGATGAAAAGTGCAGCTATATGCCACTTGAGATATGAAACATAGCACTGTAGCTAATAGTGAATGGATCTTCTAATACTCACGGAAGTATTTGTTAAGTAGACTATGTGAAGGCACAAATAAATACATAAATATATTCTGTATGTATCATTTCTGTGTCAATATGAAACCTTAACATTTAAAAGCGTCATCACTGATTACTTTGCTATATAACAATTTAGGATGCAGTGTATGAATATGAGATCAAGTGTCTAGAAATGCTCAGCCTACATTTAAAGTGAAAGATTTTTACCTTTTTATACAGATTCTCAACACTAATGGGAATCTTAAATTTCTAATGTGTAAAATAATTATTTCAAAGGCTAGCATATTTTTTAAAAATTTTGTAGCTAAAGTAATCCATAGCCTTTTTCAATAGCGTCGGTATTAATTGCTTCCAACTGGAAAAGTGGTATTATCAAAGTATCTAGTTGCTTCTGTGGTCCTTGGATTAAACGCCAGATGTACTGTGCCCCTTACAAGCTGCAAAATACCTGAGTGGAGCCATGGGTGAAGTGACACGATACCTTGGCCTTGCTTTAAAATACTCCAGCCAAAAAGATGGGACTGTGGGACAAGAACAGCAGAGTTGATCTTTGTTGAAGTTGGGTTTGGGGTGCAGGGTAATAGATTACAGCTTCTTTCTGCTCTTGGGTAACTTCTATAATGAAATTTTGGCAACATTTCCATAATAAAAGTTTTAAAAATATGCTTCCACCAGAATGTAGGTTTCGCATAATGTAAATGACTTACTAGGCTGATGCCTAAAGGGGTCATGATGCTATGTAATTCTTTTTTCCAGATCTGTGTGAGGCTTCTACTAATCACCCTGAGCTCCAGGAACGCCGCGCTGCTGGCTGTAAAGAGGAGTAGTCATCACACCCCAAAGGTCAATGTCTGCATTTTGTGTTTGCATGTTGTCTCTCATGACAAGAAACTTTGTCTCTTGTTTATGCTGTGTTTGTCTCCATTTATGGTTTATTTTGAAAATCTGTTGTTTGACATCAAGACAAACCGTGAGGTTTTTTTTTGTAGGTAAAGCTGAGGAGTACATAAACTTAAATTAACCTTTGCAGATTTTGATAAATCAAGCTTGACAATAAAGCATTTAATTCTGCATTGGGGAAAATAGTGAAGACATTTCATAAACAAAATAGAGATTTCATAATGTATGCTGTTTATTTCATAACAGTGCATGTGCGCATACACAGGTGCAGTGCTCTCTCTGATAAGAACCAGATTTGAATTCTCAAATACTTGATTGGCTATAAGTTTAAGGAAATACATGGCAACAAATTCAAAATATGGTCTTGTGGGTGAGATACGGCTACTGGTGACAGAAACAAATCTACTATTTATCAGGCATGAAATTTAAATTTCTTTAAACGCCAGATGTACTGTGCCCCTTACAAGCTGTGAAATATCAGTAGAAACCACAAGTTTAAAACTTCTCATCTCTAAAGTTTAGTGAAATGTGTAAAAACTAACAAATGCTTTAATTTATAGTGAACAATAAGTATGTTGGCCTCTCTTAAACACCATTCTGAGTTTAAATGATTTAGAAGGTTGATTTATTATTGCATCATGTGTTAAAAGATATTGTGTTTTGTTTGCTCCAAACTCTCCTGGTTTGTTTGTTTTTCTTATAAAGTTTTTTTTGGCTTACAGTTAGTGTGTTGAGTTTACTACTAAATAATCTACCATTCTTATACAGGAATGGAAAGGGAGGAGGGACCTGGTGGGAAATTATCTTTTGGCCACACTTAGTATACAAAGTATAGTAACAGTCACTCCTGGAAATTTCATGATCTCTTTTAAATTTGCATTCAATGGCATCTGACTTTAATGATTAAAAATGTCAGGATATAGTCTACACCAGTTTCCAAAAAGAGATTCTCATTGTCTTTGGTGAGAATCAAGTGGGTAAGATGCTACAAAGTCTTCGCCATATTGTTACTTAATTGCCTAAAAAGCACAGTATGTATTTAAACCATTCTGCTGACTCCAGCAGGAAACAATTCTTAAATTTAGGAAAATTTACCAAAACTAAGGGGAAGGGCTTTCATGCCCCCTCCCTACCTCCACTCTTATTAAAAGTAAGTTAATGTCACTTAATTATTTGGGTGCTTTTTTTTTTTAATGTCTGTAGCTGCTTAGGTATGATGGCTCCTACATAAAAAACCTGCACTCTAGCTGGCACACGATGGAAACTGAACTGAATAATAATTACTATTTTCCAATAGGGTAGGGCAATTGTTATTTAAAACATAGTCCCCATAGCTTTATTGAAATGTATCTAGTTAAGATTAATTTGGCATTTAAAGTAGTAAATCATGAACATTCTCCTAACGTGGGTTTTCTTGGGAAATGCACTAAATAGGAAAATTATTCCTTAAAACCTAAGTGACCTTCAGGAGCATGGGGAAACTATGGCAATAAGTCAGCTTCTGTGAAAAATGTTAACAGTTGTAATTGTAGAAGTGCTGCCAAATTTGTTTTCATACCCTTTTTGATCATTATTAAAAATTCTCAAATGTAGACAATACTAACACTGATTATAGAAATTAAGAAAATGTGGGCTCCTGTTTGTAAGCTTAACGGACTTAGGGAGGTACACCTTCTCTCACTGAGGGGTGCCTTTCATTGACGGTGATGCTTTACTTTGACTGGAGAGGACCAGGCACCTTGGCTTACAGCGAATATCTAAGGTTTTGCTAAATTGGGCTTTTCAGTATTTTTCTTGGATTTCCCTTTAAAAATAGTCTTCTATCTTGACAGTTTTTTAATATCTCATGACTTGAGATATTAAGTCAAACTTGATAAACTTATGTAAATATTTGTAGCTTACTAAGTTACAGATTAAACCTGTATTTGGGTGATAACGCACAAACCACTGGGTTTCTTGTGGCTGCAGGAAGTCAGGTTTCCCTGTGGGTCACTGTTGTCTTGCCCTGCTTTTGCTAATGAACAGTGAGACAGGGCAGCTACTCACTTAGCATCCTCCTAGCCGCCTGCTGCCTTGTACGTCACATGTATTGACCAAAACCAAAATAAAAACAAGTCAGGGGAGAAGAATCAAAAACAAAAAAACAAAAAGAAGCAAAGCAACATTACAACGTGAGAAAAAAGTTGCTCAGAGTTGACGAAAAGCTACCTAATTCTATGTCTAAAAAATCGCCCTGGGAAAACACTGGGCAGTGTAGTGCTTATTAAAATAATGATGAGAGAAGACTCATTTGAGGCTGGATGATTTCAAGTTGTTCTTTTATGAGATGGTTGGTTTGGGTCTTCATGAAGACATATGAACCTATTCTCATAGCAAAAAAAAAAAAAAAAGACCAAACTGGCTGAGATGCCGTTTTATGTTTTGTGATGTGGACTCCTATTTGCTAAGAACAAGCCCGGTGAATCCATTTTACTGAGAAGTGGGGAGTGGGATTGTCCTGAAGTCCCAAATAAGAAAGATCAATACTTTATTTACTAAGACAACCCTAAAAAAATCAAGTCAATAGCTGGCTGTGCTTTTGTATCTGTTTGTTGGCTTAGGTTGATATTTATTCACATACATAATCGCTTTATCTAAATAAAAAATGATAAACTGTATATCAAGTTTAAAATTCAGATTGTCATGGAATATGAGAAGAGTCATTCTTTGACGTGATTTTGTGGTCTGTTTTAAAACTTGATACAAATTTGTGAGCTAATTTAAATGTGCTGAAGCCACGCAATAGGATATTGATAGTTTGATACCAAGATGCAATTAACAATGATACTAAACCATCACAATACGAATGCACCTGTGAGATACGTGTGTTTTCATTATGATTCCCTACCTGTAATTTAATTCCCCTTTATATGTTTCTTAAATTCCTCAGATTAGTTGCTTTTAGAGCAAGAAACCAAGTGGATAAAAAGGTCAAATGCAATAAATGAAATAGAATGATGGAAGTCGTAAAAAAGTATTGTCCTTAAATGACCTGGAGAAAGATATAGTAAGTGATGTTGCTGTCATCCGCAGTTTAACTTGTTGCCCCTTTCCCTGAACATGTGTTTGCTGAGGAGAGAGGCTGTGCTCTTTGTAGTCCACTTTCACCATCCGCCCCGAGGGCGGGAGGTGGTGATGATATTTAATATAATATTTGCTCATCCACTTGTGAGGTCATCACCAGAAACATGTGGCTTTGCTTCAGAAGGGCACTTTGTGGAAGAGGAGTCTTAGATGTCACATACAGCTCTCTACCCTTCTGGGTTCTTCCGGAAAGTCCAAAAATGGAAGGATGGATAGATAAATAAACAGATAGCTAGAGGCATGGAAATGTAGATACATGCATGTGAATACACAGACATGGACGTAAATAGGGGATACAGGGAGATCAGCTAGAGCTTCGGATGTTCCAGTGTGGAGACCTCAGGGAAAAACTAGGGGATTTATTTTTTTAAATTCCTTAGTTAAAGAAACATTCCTGTGCTCCGCTCCTTGTCTTAGAGAATTATCTCAAGATTTTCATGAAAGAAAAAAATTACCCTAAATTACAGTGGACATAAAAAAAGGTTCTACCCTGCAACAGTAAGATATTCATAAAACATATTTAATCTCTTATGAAGTTTCTAGAAAACAAAAATGCCACGAGGATGCACTGGAACTAGATTAGAATCTTATGTGTCACCATTATGGAGCATGGATTTCAGTAAACCATGGATTAAATAATTTCCCTCTAAAGCGTAACAGCACAAAAGAAAAGCCCAGTACAGTAAAGTGAGCGGTGTGATAGATAGTCCTGTTCCCTCCCAGCCACAGGGCAGGGAGAAGTTCACAAACCACGAGCTTAGTGAAGCCGTGACCCAGAGGTGGACATGGCCTTCCCATGGAGCAGGTAAGGGTTCCAGTAACTGTCTCCTCCTTTCGGGATTGTTAACACACCAGCAGCTAGGGAAAGCAAGTTAGGTAATGAAGCATCAGATGCTCAATGCCAGCTGATTAACATGGCCAGGGCTCAGAAAGATCCTGTATACTGTAAGTAAAAGTATGAATAGCTGTCTCACTTTGTGAATAGCAAGGTCGGCACCTGAAGAGTTAGACTGTACTCCTAAGGGTTTGCCTCATAGCAGCTTTCTGAACAAGTGGGAATTTCTCTACAGTGTATTCTCTGATATTGGCCGATAAAAGGTGACTGTAATCCACGAGGTGACACCATTGTCAACAGAGAGAGAGAAGATTTCAATCAAGCGATTTTCATTGTCTGATAGAAGTAATCTTCATGGCTCTGTTGTTCTTCATCAAAGGGTGCTGATGAAGCTCCTTCATGCCCTGTGGTTTAGAAAAGAAAGCGGAGAACCAAAAAATAGACTATTTGGTCCCTATTAAAAATGGACCCTATGTAAAGCAACGTGTTATTAAAACAGAGTGAAATCTAATACCAATGTGGCTTTGACAAGTGTTATTAAATTATTAGACCTTTAGGTAAAAATACACCCTTGAACTGCTTTTATATGCAATCAAAGCCATGATGAAATATTCATGCCCTAAGATTAAAGGGTCGTGGGCGCGTGTGTGTTTTGAAGCAGGACCCCTAAATGATAAACAGGAGACGTTACATAGCTCAGTTTTGCATATTCTGTGGATGCTGACACCTTGGACCAATTCTGAGAGTGGAAACTCTGCTGGGAAGCCTCACTGGATTCCAGGGATCTGGGCCAGCTGTGCCTGGCAGAGCTCAAGTGTGCCTGTGGCTGTGATGAGGCTCTCTGTTTCCAAAGCAAAAATCCCCACAGTTTTTCTGAGCATGCACTGGCCCTATGGCAAGACCCCCCTATAGAAAGATTGGAAGAGAGGGTGGTTACAAAGAACACCCTTCTGAAACAAAGCCCAGTAAGAGATGCTGCTCTGCCTCATGCACGGAAGTGACCCACTGGGGCTTCAGAAAGAAACGCATTTGGGTTTTTTGTCTTCATTTTTAAGATATGCTTTCCCTTCTACCTGATAACTGAGTGTCAAGTCCAGGAAAACCATAGCGTCTCTAGGTCTTGCGCTTCCCTTCTAGTAACTAGTGATTTATTAACAGGCCAGGGACATTTTCTCCTGTGCATTGACAGTGTTAAGTAAGGTACCATTGGTCTCATGCCTCAGCCCAGGCGGCAACAGGCGCAGAGGCCCCAGCCTGGGCC